CCCTGAAGACATCTACATGCCAATATTCAGTTATAATCATAGCGCCACCAGCTGGCAGCAGGAAGTTTGGCACACTTAAATGACTTTGACATTTTCCTTGAATATTTACCACTTTAAAGGCATATTGCTGACCGTTCGCTGTTTTCCTAAAGCCACCGGTGGCCTTTCAATGCTTTAATTTTTTTTTTCATTATTTTTGTCCATAATTAATCGCACCAAATTAACATGTTAAATCGACAGACCTATTATTTATATATTTTAAATATTTGAATAGTTGATGTCACTAGTCTGTCTGTCCGCCACTTCACTGTGCCAGTCGCACCCATTTCATATCACTGTCCCTCTTCTCCTCCCCAAACACTCAAAAAAGTCTAGAGCCGAGGCTGATTACAGCACGAACATGTCGTTTGTCTCTGCTGTCACTTCCATGACTGATAACAAATGCACAAAAAAAAAACACTCAGCTGTAAAAATAACAAAACCCAGTGCAATACTGGCATTGAACATTCATGAACTGTGGCATGAGACTCTCAGGCTTTTTGTGGTTCTTTGATACAAAACTGAAATCGGAAAAAAAACAAGGTTCAATCTTGGTTTTAATGATGAATTTCAGAAAAGACAAAGTTGCATTGAGTGCAACACCTGGTAATTTTGCTCAGAACTGTCTAGACACTGCCTTGATCTTACTGATGCATGGCCATTATGTTTGATGAGATGACAACCAAGTAATGAAACAGAAGAGATGTGTCACTTACTTTAGGTACACAAATCAATTGCTAGGAGACATTGTTGCACTCTTTTCACAAGCTGAATATGTTCAGCCTCAGCTCTGGAAAAAAATGAAGATATCATCAAGGCACACACATAGTGTACATATCAGTAAAGCATGTTAAGAATGGCTTCAACCAGGACTTGAAAAACTGCCAGGCTGTTAGTGAGGCCGAAGACTTTGACCCCATAGTCATACTCAAAGGTCAGCAGGGGATATTTAAGGTAGTTTATTTTACCCACAATAGCCAATGCATGGTCTTAGTCCACTGTCTTTAATTGCACCCAGATTCAGCTAGAGAAGTGGTACTTTTCTTAATAATTTTCATGAAATCTGACAAACAGCAATTATACGTGTAAGCAGGGCAACACCACATATGACGAATACAATAAAAATAAAGATCAAATAATGTCAAATCATATATAAATATGGTACATTTCAGAATATATCCTGATTTCAGATTGTGCTAATTTGGTGTTCTTAGTCAAAAATTATCAGTCTTTTAAAGACTGCTTGTAAATCTCTCATTATGCTATAATATTATCAAATCAAGTCTTTTTATCGACTTGTTGTATTTCAATGAGGACAGGTTATGTGTTGCTGTTTTAACTGATTAATATAGGCCTCATTGATGTGAGCTTATGCACCTCAGTTTTTAAGTGCAAAAAGCATTATTTGTGAATTTTGTCAGTGTTTACTTAAAAACTGAGGTGCATAAGTACAGATCAATGAGGTCTGTGATCAATCAGTTATTTGATCATCAGTTTTGATCCCCCCCCCCCCCAAAAAAAAACAGTAAAGCATGTTAAGAATGGCTTCAACCAGGACTTGAAAAACTGCCAGGCTGTTAGTGAGGCCGAAGACTTTGACCCCATAGTCATACTCAAAGGTCAGCAGGGGATATTTAAGGTAGTTTATTTTACCCACAATAGCCAATGCATGGTCTTAGTCCACTGTCTTTAATTGCACCCAGATTCAGCTAGAGAAGTGGTACTTTTCTTAATAATTTTCATGAAATCTGACAAACAGCAATTATACGTGTAAGCAGGGCAACACCACATATGACGAATACAATAAAAATAAAGATCAAATAATGTCAAATCATATATAAATATGGTACATTTCAGAATATATCCTGATTTCAGATTGTGCTAATTTGGTGTTCTTAGTCAAAAATGATCAGTCTTTTAAAGACTGCTTGTAAATCTCTCATTATGCTATAATATTATCAAATCAAGTCTTTTTATCGACTTGTTGTATTTCAATGAGGACAGGTTATGTGTTGCTGTTTTAACTGATTAATATAGGCCTCATTGATGTGAGCTTATGCACCTCAGTTTTTAAGTGCAAAAAGCATTATTTGTGAATTTTGTCAGTGTTTACTTAAAAACTGAGGTGCATAAGTACAGATCAATGAGGTCTGTGATCAATCAGTTATTTGATCATCAGTTTTGATCCCCCCCCCCCCCCCAAAAAAAAAACCCTGTGTACCTGTGTTCATTTAAAGAAAACAAGTTGAAAAGATTTAATCCAATATAGCATAACAAGACATTTTTAAGCTATTTTTTGCAGGCCATTTTTGACCAGGAACACAACAAGTATAATAAGGTGGGGAAAAGCTGTCAGCTGTCATGCCGGTGTCGTGCAGTAGGTGGCAGTATTCGCCTTGCAGTAGATTTGCCAACCGCCATCGAAAAGAAAACGCTCAAATGTGCGCATTCAGCCGCTATTAAATCTAAAAGAAGAAGTGCATGTGCGAGAACCAGTGTCGTCTGTTCTAGCGTGTCACATACGTTTGAGCTTCCGTGTTCAATGTAGGGGTGTGCGATATTGACAAAAAAATAATATCTCAATATTTTCTCAATATTGCAGAGTGTGTTATTGTGCTGGTACCTTAAGGACTGCCGAAGACTGCTGACTCCTAATGTTTTTAATATTCTTCATATTCTGTGTGGTGGTCAGTTCATACTGATAGAAATGAATCTTTTCCAATAAGTTTAAACAGATTTTTACATTTTATGGACATTTTTACCTTTATAAAGCCATTTTTTCTAAAAGTGTCTATTATATTTTGAGTCAAATTCTTACATTTAATCAGGGAATTAGAATAATAAGACATTTGGGCTGTTACCGAGCAAATTAAATCAACACAGAAGCTGCACCTGAAGTGGCATTTAGATGTATTTACACACATATATTTAGTTTAATGCAAGAAATGAATGCATTTAACCTGCAATTACAAATGCATAAATAATGTTTTGATATATTAAACATAAAACATTGAATACTGATATTTGAAATGATTTAAAACATGACATTTAAAAAAAAAAAAAGCCGAAATGTGAAATTAAACGCCAGTAGGTGGCAGCAAGTCACTGTTAATAAGTGAGTCGTTGCGATTGAACCGAATCATTTAAACGAGTGATTAATTCAGGAATGACACAAAACAGCGCTGTGGCTGTATTCGGGATGATTTTTGTTGGCGAAATATAGCAAAAACAAGCAATATGGTGTCTAAAACGTAAGTCTCTTAATTAACATTGTTTATTGAATTCAATGACACATTTGTAATCGTGGTAATTTTTAGAGAAAAACGGCACTCTTCGTGTGAAATTGAATAACTATATGAAGTGGTATAAATATATACATTTTCTGCCATTATGTCTTGAATTTGTGATCATTCTAAATGCATTATAATAGAGCGAAATATAGCAAAAACAAGCAATATGGTGTCTAAAACGTAAGTCTCTTAATTAACTTATTGTTTATTGAATTCAATGACACATTTGTAATCGTGGTAATTTTTAGAGAAAAACAGTACTCTTCGTGTGAAATTGAATAACTATATGAAGTGGTATAAATATATACATTTTCTGCCATTATGTCTTGAATTTGTGATCATTCTAAATGCATTATAATAGACTGAATCATGCAGTGAAAGAACGCACTCTAAATGCGCACACGCACTAGTCTAGACTTCACGTGATGTATGCGTGCGCTCTGTAGGGATGTTTTGAATGGTTTTTGCAAAATACTCGATAATGTCAAATCGCACATCGTTAAAACAACAATTACGATATTATCGCAGACGATATATATCGCACACCCCTAGTTCAATGTACTGGATGCACACTTTTTCGATCACTCTTAATTTATCGTTTACTTTTATCTACTGTCAGACTATCTGAGACATCATTGCCATAACGCATTGCTGTGTGTTGTGACGGACAGACTGGCATTCTGACACTGCCAGCTTCATGCTTTCTAACCATATCTCCACTTGTTTACCTTATATAGCAATAATTAAGCTTTATGTATATATATATGTATATATATATATATATATATATATATATA